AAATCAGCCAACAGTACTTTGATTTGGTGTGAGAGAAAAATACTGTTCGTTGGCTGAAAAAGTACGACTTATAAGCCAAACAAGCACAAACGAACAGGACGAAAGACTTTATTCATATCTGAATAAGGGATCAGTTAATGCATATGCTAGAAAAGGCAGTGAGCATGATAGAAAAAGCAGTGAGGGGATGCTAGAAAAAGCAGTGAGCAGAATGGTTTTGAGGCTGACAGTCAATATTAATCATTTTTCATAGATCATGCTTACATTATTATATATAGAGAAATCATCATGTAAATAACATCTATGTACAATCACGTACTCCTATGTGCTTTCTATATCAAGCATCAAGGAACTGCACTCCATGCATGCACCATATCTATATGCTGATATCAACATTGTACGCATGATGTGTATTCAAATATCTTAGGATGGTAATTTGTAACATCTTAGTTCTAAGCTTTCCTATAGACTTTCACGTACAAATAGTGATGCATATAAAGGTTGTACCTCCAGAAAACATTGATCTTGTCGATACAATTAGGAAAATAAAAATGAGCTTAAGGCTGATAAAATGTCAACAGACTAATTCAAGTGTGGTATATAATACAAAATATCTAAAGTATTAACTATTCATGGAAAACATTACCACTTCTTTCCAACCAATCAGGGCAGGGGCATCCCAGTCATTGCAGGACAAAACTTGAATTAGATTTCTCCGTCAAAGTCTTAAAGCACTAGCATCCCAGTCAAAATCACCAATAACCATCTCAGAAAATCTCAGCACTTGCATTAAATTATTTTATTCACAATTGGTAATAGTTTGAATACCTTCTGCCAAATAGTTCAGCACATGTTTCAATTTCATGGATAACAATTTTATGCTTTTTCAACCAGTTGTAGTCGCGGTTCACCTCTTCGATTATTTTCTAATGATGTGCACCTTTTTTTTTTCAGCTGTCAAATTGATCCGTGCTCAGCTGTCCAATTGGTCCGCGCTGTGTGAATTGATATCTATTTTGCCTGCTCCAAGTGATGTTCAGCAATTATCTACTACGGTCCTCATTTAGTAACGTTTAGGTAAACCAGAGATGAAAGAAGACATACTAGATGGAGAATATATTTGCTTAGTTGTTGATTGATTTGGATATAGTGTCCGTTCTCACTTTCTGCATTACAATGGATCAGGAAGAAATAAAGCAAAGTTTCCAGCCTCACAGTTCCTGCTCCTAATCTCCAATGTTTTTTTTTTACTTCACATATACATGGATCTCGGTTCTACTCGTTCTCCATATAAATGAGATGAGAGGAGTATCCTTTTTTTCTCTTTGATTTAATCAACACTGGACTACTCAAAGATGGCGCGGCAACGCCGCGCCTTGGGTTTTCTAGTACAGATTTAAATCTGAATCCCACTTGAAGAAAGAACATGTCATAAGTTGTCATGAAAGCACAAGCTCAACTATTGATTGATGGAAAGAAAACAATTGACATTTAGAAATACAGTTTTTCTCAGGGTTTCATGACATTTAGAAATAGCCATATAGCTGTCTCTCAGCATCAGGTAGGCCCAACATTATAACTTCTCTTGGAGAGAACTAACCTTTCTTCCAGGCAGATCCGGAGTATACAATTCAGGCAGATCCGGTTGGACGAAGTTCCTTGGGAATGCCTCTACCATTACCAACACTACCACTGATGTTCTATTAGGAAGATAAGATGTGGCATGTCCACATGACAATTAATTGCACATATTACATTTGAAACTGTACCAGTTTCCTCCAAAGAGAGTACCTCTCCAGCACATCTGTTTTACTGTAGCATAAATAAGACATTTTGGTTCTAAACTTTTGATGTAACCGCAAGCCTTCAATTTGAAGCCATTCCATACATGCAACATTAGCAAAATATGGAAGATATTTTTTATTTGATTGACATAAATAAACACACGACCAAACAAACTAAATTCACAGTAAATAATTGCTCATTGATACAGCCACGAAAAAAAACATGCCAATCATAAAACATATTACCAAAAATCTAAATTGTTCAACTTGTGCAACAACATTCATTATCATTAAGATAACTAGCATCCATAAAGGTATGACTACATAAATGTCTCAACAGGCTTGCAGTACTAATTAGATCAAAAGCATGAGAAGGCATACATCCAAGCACAAGCAGAACATTTCACTTAAGTCTACTGGAATTTCACTGGGTCGTGGGCTCGAAGCAGCCTCTCCGCAGATTTTGCGCAGGGAAGGCTTGCCTCGGTTTTTTCCCTTCCCCAAACCCCACTCATGTGGGAGCCTCCATGACTGGGTCTACCCCCCCCCCTACTGGAATTTAACACAGCTGCTAGCTCATACTAAGAGCACACACTTTCAGTACTTATTTGCGAGAGCCGGTGATTCTGAGAAATAGGGAATGTAACGAGCAAAATCAGACCAGCATTTGTAATCTTTGAAAGTGGCAATGACACTCAGTTTCTTACGGTCCATGTCGTATGCTGTCAGATTATTATTACAGCTAATGGACTCAAAAAAGAAAACCACATTACAATCTTGAATTCTTGATGAATGGCAACCACCTGAAGATCCTGAAGCTCTAATGTAACTCGTGTGCAACTCTCTCCAAAGATGGATAGTTCCACAATGTTCTTCAACACCCATTCCTGTGTACCATAATCCTGAATAACCCAGATGGATAGTTTCTCGTTCTTTTCATCAGCAGACTCTAGAGTCACGCAATGTAGGTGCCCTTGGGATTGACCTAAATAATAAATAATACCTGGCATAGTGATCATCCTTCTTGTCTTCCCTTGTACATCTACAACAAGTATGTGCTGTCCATCTGAGCCCCAAACTATAAAATGTTGGAAGCCATTAACAAAGGCGCACGGATGGTAGATAGCATCTAGTGCAAACTGATGATGCCACCCTTCCAATTGTCCTTGCTCTTTTTGTTCATCAATTTGGTTTTGACTCCAGGTCCCAGTTTCAGACGAGTAAACATGCAACAACACTATCTTCTCGACGACATTCGCAATCTGGAACAGGACCAAGTGAAAGTGAGAGGATACGGCCGGATCGAAAGCCAAATGGGGATCGCTTAACCCTGCAAGAGAGCCGTAAGCAGGCACAGCTGACCATTGCCTTGTGGTCGGGTTGCACACGATGTAGCCATCTAATAGGTGAGACAGCTCCTGACGCTGCACGAAAAGGATAAGCCCGCTGCAGGAATCCAACAAGAAGGCCTCGATCCCAGTCATTTCTGTCAAGAAGGAGAAGCAAGGGTCGATGTCCAGAGACACGGATCTGACTGTCAGGTCGATGAAACTGAAACTGATACGGTCCGATTCATCGTCATCCAATTCATCGTCGTCGACCTCGGACGTCTGGAGGAACAGTCTTTGCATGGGTTGGCGGAGCTTCTTACGGTGGTCGGGGTGGGTGATGAGGTCGCGCCAGGCCTTGGACACGCACTTGAACCGGCAGACGGACTTGGCAGGGACGCGGGAGAGGATCTCCACCAGGGGGTCGTCGGGGAGGCCGGGCGCCGCGCCGGCGCTCGTCTTGGAGCAGCCCTCCATGGCTCCCTCCGAGAGCAGTCTGTGTGAAAAGCGGGGACCGAGCGAGATGGAGGTGTGAGGGGATGCGAGGGGGAAAATGCAGCAATGGGGAGGCAAATGGGGGCTTACCAGACACCGGAGATGGCCGTGGTCGACGGCGCCGGGCGGCGCCGAGGATGAGGATCGAATGGGGATTTTGGGGGATTTCTAACAAAACGCTAGAGTGCCGAGGATGAAGCTGGGTGCGGCCGAAGCATGGATGGCAACGGGGATGCATAAGTCGGGTACCCCGGAACGTTCTCTTTTCCGTTTTCCGCTACGGAGAATTTATCCTGTCTCTGTCTCCGTCCCGTTAACTATCTCGAGTATAGATTTTTGCCTATTCCTATACCCGTCGGGCATCGGTCGGGTAACAGATACCTGACGGGTACTATATACCCGATAAACAAGGACACTTGGGGTCGTAGCTTTGCAATCGGAGACGTTTCTTTTTTCACCCGGATATAAGTGTCGGAGTCTCGGAGATACCGAGGAGAAGGAGCGAGGTTGCGAGGAGGACGAGCAAAGGTGGCAGAGAGACTGAACTGAGGAAGCGAGGGGCACGAGCGCTCGTGAGGAAGGCGTGCTTGTGCTGCTAGCGGAGATGGTGAGAAAAAATTGAATTAAGGTTCCTAGAACACACAAACTATATATATGATTGTTCAGATTTGAGCCAAAATAACTATATTGAGCCTAATACTCGCATAACAGCTCAAATAGTCGGGTTCTCCAACGGGTAACGGTGACGGATAAACAGGGAACGTTCACGTACCCGCTATACCTGTCGAGGATGGATTCTTATCCATTTAGATACCCACGGGTATAGGGGCCGTTGCCATCTTTAGGCCGAAGCGATCAAATGAGCTCTGTCGGCGCCTCGGCGGAGTGCGGACAGTGTGTGTGACGTTCGACCGCCCTGCGAATGGGCCGCAGGAGCTTGGGGCTTCACGTAAAATTAGTATTTGGTCTGGGCCTGGCGCCTGGGCGAATGGACCGCAAAGTTCGATCATCTTTTTTTCCACAAACAGCGGGCTGGCAATGCAAAGTGAAGGTAAATCTTCTGACGAATCGTACATCAGTGCAAAATCTTGTGTCAATCAGCAGGGGTCTGAGTGAACATTGCGTTTGATAACTCAAATACGTCGATAACTCAAATACTTTAACAGCACACCTCTTCCGTGAACTCAGTATCCACACCACACAAACAGCAAAGCCTGTCTAGCTAGCTCTCAAACAGAGGCTAATGCTAATCCCTGATTACATATACACATCGAGGCTAAATTAGCAAATGTACGAACCACACTTGAGAACAGAAGCAAGCAGTTGGACACACAGTTACACAGAATGCTAGTATGCTACAGCCATATGACTAGTAGTCAGCAAGAGACGGCCCTTAAACGTAAATCTTCATGCTAGTATCTGGTCCAGAGAGGCCAAGTAGCTCCTTACACAGATCCTCATCGAGAGTTGCCGAAGGATCAAAATTTATAGTAACTGTTTTGAGCACTGGTGTCCATCCCAATAGTCGTTTCACAAATGCAAAATCACAATCTGGAACGCTGAATCCACAAATATCCAATTCCTCGAGAGAATTCAAGCAGAGCTCCTCAGTTTTCCAGTCTTGCGGCTGATGACAAACACAACCCGGCGAACAAGCAGATTGTTCCTGATGGGGACCATAGACATAAGATAGGATAACTTCTCAACAATCTTTTCAATGGCTATTGACAATAAGAAAAGCATGCAGGAGAAAGTGGAAAACAATTCGATTTACAGTCATTTAGAAAGTGGAAATGTGAACATATGCCAAGTTTGCATAAGAATGGGATATCATTTGGTGTTAGCCAATGAGTTCGTGGCATGTATATATAGAGAATTGTAGAAAACAAAATTTCTACAAAATGACACAAAAAATATACCAACTGTAAATAGAATATAATTGATGAATTTTGCTTCTTAGGGTTTCAACAGAGCCTTTAGCATGGCATAATGAGAAGTAAAATCAGCTTAAACACTAGACTGTGTGAGCAAATTATACCATCAGTTTGAAACCTGATGCCAGTGAGCAACATCTACGCTGGCAATTAATTAGGATCCAAAGTAGGGCTGCAACTTTTCATTGTATTTTTGAATTGATGCACAGCTGCTAGTATGGATCCATACAATTATATCTTCCAGAAACAAACCATGAAAGAAAAGTAGAAAACTACACCTACGCGTAGCAAACTAACTCCTGAAGTATCAATGTACCACCATTGGTCAAGCATTAGTGCACCAAATGAAAATCTTCCACCACTTTCCAAGTAACCAAAGTATTCAAAGCTGATAAGGTGAAGCATACCGGAATGTCTTCATGTATCTGCAGAAACAGCCTTCGTATACTGGTAAAAATCTTTAGGAAACGGAATATGCAAGAGACAACAGCATGTCCAATTGTTACTAAGCGCAGCCATAAGTCCTCAACTGGGGACAAGGTTAGAGCTTCCATCAAGTAATGGTAGTTAACCATCTTCTGCAAATTCATAAAAAGCCACAACAAAATTTCATATGCAGCAAGAAATGAAGCAACTCTCTAGAATAACTGATTTTCTCACAAGGAATGACTTGTTACAAAATACAAGCAAACTACTTTAGAATTGTTTTGCAGACTAATGACACAAGATGTCTCTGGTAAAGAATCACAACTAAGAACTAAACACTCAGCCTGTTTAGGCCCTAACTGAGTTGAATATGCCCCAAGTAACACACTACCATCCACTCCTGAATTCATGTCCTTGACTAAATAAGTAAACATTACAACTATACCAGTGCATCGACGGGAAAAACTGACAAAAAGCAGTTGAAGTAATCAATCATTCAATATAAGGTACCAAGGTACGTACATCATATTTTATATAAAAAAGGAAGACTAAACACGAACCATCTATAGGATTTACCTTAAATGAATAACCTCGATAATCCTACGAATGTGAGACTTCAGAAAAACAAACCGAATGAAAATTTCATATAAGAAATGGGAAGTTCTTAAAAATTGTCATGTGTAGTCATACAAAAAAAAGGAATGTATCTAATGATATATGTGGATAGGGGTGCCACCAAACGAAGAAAACCTTGTCCATCATTGAAATGGTATGGACATATCCAACAAATGCCACTAGAGTCACTGGTGCATAGAAGAATAGTAAGGCGTGCCGATACTGTAAAGAGAGGCAGCAGGGCTCAAACAAACCTAACACGAGAAGAGTTTGTAAAGAGATACTTGATGGAATATCTCAAAAAAAGAACATTTTACTATTACTTATAACTTCTTTTTAATGTTTGGATACTTAATGGGTTTAATCGCTAGCCTACCTCAACTCACTTCAAACTAAAATGCTTTGTTGTTGTTTATCTACCCATGCTGATAACTCAATACCATGTTCACATTTCCTTTTAAACCATTCCACACTTGATACCGAAACTTGTTGTCAAAAAATTAAACAAACATTCATGGGAAAATATGGCAGCATCGTCATCTAACATGATTTTCATTTAGTCACACGCTGTAGCACCATCATGGATGATACCAATACCAAGACAATCGTCTAAGCTACTGATCAAGATAGCAACAGGATACCAGATTAATTCAACATGATTCTCAACTACTAATCCTGATAAACACTTTATATTTAATGAAAGGAAACAGGAGTTATAAAAAGTTTTTTTTTCCATTTTTTGTGTTCTACTATAAATTAGCTAAAGAGTAATGAACATGTGTCTTGCAGCATCAGTCCATTTGGCTTGAGGTGGGATGAAAAATCCCCAATTCATTTGCTTGCCAGATCAAATAGTCATGTATACATCTGATGGTTGCACATGCCCATGTATGGTCAAGTGTTAAAACAGTCTGCTGTATACGTGTCCCTACAACTGAAGGTTGTTGCACCAGGCATTATATTCACAGTCAGTTGCTTGACTACATCGAGATCTATCAACACTACTTCTCCGAAGTAGTTTTTGTTACAAACTTACAGTTACTAGCCTTTCATCTGAAAAAACTTACAGTTACTAGACAATTGTACTTAGCAACATTTAAATAAAGAAAGTTTCAAATGCATGATAACAGGACACGTACAAAGAGTACTCACAGGTGGATGGACGATTGAAATGTAAAGATAAGGGATCTTCTGAAAGCACTGCAATAACATCAAAGTGCCCCAATTGTACTGATGATCACGCAATTCAAGGAATAAGGTTGCCAGTCTCTGTAGATGCACCATCTCACCAAGATGGACTGAGATGGGATCATATCTATCATGCCACTGAATCATTTCCATAACAGGAGCAACGATGTCAACCACTGGTTGCCTGACGAAGCAGTGAACAATACGCAGTTCTATCAGCATCGGTGACACAACAGTGAGCTGCTGCAACCCTTTGACAGTTTCCAACCACAAGCTTAGGAGAGACTCTGAGAAGATAGCGAGGTTGGACACCCGAGTGTCGACAAGACGAAGTTGTCGCAATGAAGGGCAACGAGCAGACGAGAAGGCGTCGCCGATGTCGCAGGCGCCTGGGAACTGGACGTAGGCCAGGTCCAGCATGGTGAGCTTTGTGAACACGCCGGACGGTGGCAGCACGAGACCAAGGTAACCTAGGCGGAGGATAAGCCGTTCGGCCCTGTCGAAGCAGGGCATCTCAACGGCGGCCCTTACACCGGCATCCGGAACCTTCGTCAGCACGTTATGGAAAAGGAGCTCGTTGGTGAGGCGGGGCGCTGCAAGGCGGAGTACCGCGGCCGCGTCCCTCGGGTCGGCATCGTTGGACACGATGCTCAGGAACCTGAGCGCGGGCGCCTCATGTTGGGCGAGAGCCGCGCACGCCGAGACCGGCGAGGGACGCGCAGCAGCCGGTTCGGCGGGGAGCGGGGAGCGGGAACCGCAGCTCCGGGAGCTGCGCCCAGAGGCGGCTCCAGCGACGAGAAAGGACGCAGGTCCGCGCGGCGGCCGCGGCAAAAGGGAGGTGGAGGAGGACGAGGAGGATGATGTCATCGGGGAGCGCGCTAAGAAGGTCCTCCTTCTCCCCCTCGCCGCCGCCGCCTTCATCACCGGCAGGTGCGAGATCTGGGGGTGAAAGGCCCTCGCTGGCGCCGCCTTCGTCACCGGCGGTGCCGCCCGGAACTTCTCCCAAATGTCACGCATCGTCGACCCAACGCCGTCGCCGCGAGATCACCTCCACCTCGGTTGTGTTGGATCTCTCCCAGAGTTGGCGATTTCTCGGCTGATCGCCGGCGAGAGCTACCGTGCCGCAGCCAACTAGGGAGAATCGGGGGTTTAGGCTACCGGAAACAGCAGATTTGCGGAGTGCCCAGCTTCGTCGAATGTATTTTATCGGACACTAAAAAAAACTATTTATTGAGATTTATCGAGTGCATCAGAAATTACACTCGACGAAACAACGGCACTCGGCATACCAATATCTTTGCCGAGTGCTGAAACAATACCACTCGGTAAACTAGGAAAAAAGACTCGACAAAACAGAGACACTCGATAAAAAACCACCACATGGACATCCGTCAGCTAGTGTGCCGGCCGTTAGGAGTTTGCCGAGTGTCCTTTAGTGGCACTCGGCAAAGAAGTAAGTTTGCCGAGTGTTTTCCTTTAGCACTTAGCAAAGAAATAATTTTGCCGAGTGTTTTTTTTGGCACTCGGCAAATAGATAAGTTTTTTTCTCTTCTGGCCTTGAAACTTTTTCTACTGTCCACATACAACATGTAGTACTCTATGTTAAGATTTGGTATATTTCTGGATCCGTTTGCTATATTTAATTAATTTATTGTATTTCAAGGAATTTTTTTATATAAGTCAAATTTGAACCACGAGTGATTCAAATAATAGAATAAAATAAGTAGAAAAATGATATTCATGTTATTGAGTCCGGTGTGAGGCCTTACCCAGAAAATAAAAAGAAATTTCGAACATCTTGTTCAGGAAACACGACCACGAACGTGTGGCCGAATGATTTTTAAATTCTAAAAAAGCAAACGAAGTATGAAAATCATGAGATTTATCAAGATCTCATGATATCATATGTGGAGGCCGTGGTAAAAATTTGAGAAAGTTTCGCACAATCTGTTACGAACAATATTTACAAACCGAAGTATCTGAGAAGAAGAATCGTAGCATTGAGAAAGATTCGGTAAGATTTGGAGTCAAAGTGACGGTTGAATTGAGTTTGACTTCAAAACTTTTTATATAGGCAATAGAGAACGAGATTAAACCATGTGTAATTTTGGTATTTTTTTGGATCTATTTGATAATTTTAATTTATTAAGTGTAATTATAGAATTTTAATTGATATTCATTGAATTTGAGCTACAACTGCATGAAATAATAAGTTTTTTTCTCTTCTCGGCTTGAAACTTTTTCTACTGTCCACATACAACATGTGGTACTTCATGTTAAGATTTGGTATATTTCTGGATCCGTTTGCTATATTTAATTAATTTATTGCATTTTAAGAATTTTTTTTTGTATAAGTCAAATTTGAACCGTAAGTGATTCAAATAATAGAATAGAATAAAATGAGTAGAAAAATGATATTCATGTTATTGAGTCCGGTGTGAGGCCTTACCCAGGAAATAAAAAGAAATTTCGAACATCTTGTTCAGAAAACACGACCACGAACGTGTGGCTGAATGATTTTTAAATTTAAAAAAAGCAAATGAAGTATGAAAATCATGAGATTTGTCAAGATCTTGTGATATCATACGTGGAGGCCGTGTTAAAAGAAGGAAAATGAAAAAAAAGTTTATAAAGTTTGCCGAGTGTCCCTGAGATGGCACTCGACAAACATGGGTTTTGCCGAGTGTCACACCCGTGACACTCGACAAACAGCTTCACGGACCCCACACACGTGCAGTAGTTTAGGATTTGGAAATAGAAAAAAAATAAAACGGGTTTACCGAGTGCCCGCGATCTAGTACTCGGCAAGCCTGTAGTTTGTCGAGTGTCAGAACTGGGACACTCGGCAAACAGCTTTACGGGCCTCACACACGCGCAGTAGTTTAGGATTTGGAAATGGGAAAAAATAAAACGGGTTTACCGAGTGCCCGCGATATAGCACTCGGCAGTCAGAACTGGGACACTCGGCAAACAGCTTTACAGGTCCCACACACGCGCAATAGTTTAGGTTTTGAAAATGAAAAAAAAACAAAACGGGGGTTTGCCGAGTGCTAGATCACGGGCACTCGGCAAACCTCCCTCGTAACCACCCCAAGTGTCGCACCCGGCCGCGCACACACGCACACACTCAAACACTTTGCCGCGCCCAAACCAGACCACGCCGCCGGCCCCGCGCCCGCGCCCGCCCACACCAGCCCCCGACGCTCAACGTCCCGCTCCCGGCGCCCCGCGCCCGCCCCCGCGCGCCAACGACGTAGGCTCCTGGCACTGGACTCCCCACCGCTTCCGTCGCTTCCTGGTAAGGAAGCAAGCCCTAGCCTTTGCGTGTGGAATGGGGTTGGTGTTGTTCTAGGACACGGTTGTGAACTCTAGGTACATTACTCTTAGACATATACCTGCTACAATCAGCATTGGCACACTAGTTGGTTTTTGTTTGGCTAGAACAAAATCTCTTCCTTGATCGTGGTATGTCAGCACTAGTCATCCAACCTTTGGTGTCGTGAGGTGTGTTGAGGGGAGGGGAGGGTACTTGCTTCGAACTATGATCCTGGTAGAAACGGGCAAACGGCTAATTTAGATGCATAAGAGATTAGTCAACGTTATTGAGTTGAGTAGTAACTGTCATGCACTCATGCTTAGTTATTTGCCAGAGTATAATTAACTTCCATATGGACCTGTAATGCCATCGCAATGTATGCTTCGATTGTAGTTGCACCTGTAACTATGTAATCTTGCTAGGCAGTTCAGAGTGATGCATCAGGTTGTCCTTGCATTCATTTACTCTTCTACTAGGATATTGCTAAGTGTTATAGATCTTAAAGATTAAAAGTCAAGGTCAGTTTTGACAAGAAAAGGATATTAATATTCTTCTAATCACTTATATTTCATTTGTTTTTAGGACAGTTCCCAGATCATGTTTATATCGTGTATGCATTAGGAATCTAGCGCAAACTTAGGTTAGGTGGTAATTGTTAACAAACCCTCAAATAGCATGGTAGGAGACAGGTATTAAGGGTGTATAAAAAACAATCTATGGTGATAGTTTTTCTGAAATCCATTTTCAAGGCTCCTTCCAGTAGGATACAACTTACTCTTGGGATCTTTTGCATGTTACTTAATTTTTGACAGCTATTATTTTGGTTAGAACTGTGCACTTTGGCTAATCTTATATCTGGCAAATCCATGCTTGTTTAGGTATTGTACGCTTGTTGCAATATGAATGCATAGTAATCTTAGTTTTCCTAAAAATTGTGCTGTGAGCTTTTCTTTAGTACAATGGCTATGGTAATGATGAAATGGGAGCAATGCAATGCACCTTATTTTTTAGGTTTGAGTCATGATTAGTTCCAAGGCTTTGGGATGCTCGCACTTTCATGTAAACTCTGTTAGCTCTGCAACAAGTTGTTTCAGCATTATTTCTTGGACTCTGTATGTGGTTGTCGGACATCGTGCCGTTGGTTTGTTGCAGGTTTTGGTTACCTCATCGTGCAGGGAAGGTGCTGTCGAAATTTACAATTGACACTATTATGTTCGTTTGCTACAGGAGAGGCTATTGCAAGGATCATTCCCCACCGTCCCGACTCGTCACTTTGCAGGACAACAAGGTGAGGCATCCTACACCCCTCTTTCCATATCATGTTCATATATCACGTAACCTAGCTAGGCATCTCCCGTTCAAAAGAGATACGGTTGAAAATATGCAGATCTTTGCATATTTATAACCGTATCTGTTTCGAATTGTCCACGTTTTTTGGACAGCCCGAGGATGTGTAGATGGAGTTAGTTTCCATGCTCTACTCGGATCCGAGACAGAGTTTTAGCAGCATCTCCCTGTTGTTCTCCGGATACACAATCTCCTTGCCAGGACGTGTATTTGGAGAATAGCGGGAAGGTGCTGCCAAAATTCTGTCTCGGATAGGAGTAGAGCATGGAAACTAACCCCATCTACACATCCTCGGGTGGGATTATGACATATCTTCACCTATTAGACAGTATAGGAACCTGTAGATGCAATTGATTTTTATAGGACCCATCTACACAGCATGTTTACCAAGTGTCAGATACTAGACACTCGGCAAAGAAGCCAACATTTGTACTTTCTAGGCCAGTCTTTGCTGAGTGTCCAGTATTTGACACTCGGCAAAGAATTCAGGTTTGCCGAGTGCCCGGGATTTGACACTCGGCAAAGATGTCAGGTTTGACGAGTGTCAGGTCTGGGACACTCGGCAAAGGCGCCGTGACCGTCTCCGCGCCGTCGCGTTACTTTTTTTCGCCGAGCGTCGATTTTAGCTCTCAGCAAAGTATATGCCGAATGCCCGATAGAAAACACTCGGCAAAGAGACGTTTGCTGGTACTATAGATGTCGAGTGCTGTTTGCCGAGTGTTACACTCGACAAATCCTTTGCCGAGTGTTTTGTGAGCTTTGCCGAGTGCCTGTGGCATATGGCAAAGCCACTATTTCCTGTAGTGTCACTCGCCGCCTAGGAATGGATCGTGATCCGCTCCAAGTCCCACTCCAATCCTGTGTGATTAGGTTGTAAGCCTGATCCTATTCTATCGGGTTCATAAACCCGGGGTCCCTCATGGACCGGCTTCCCAGCAAAGGCTCGGCCCTAGCACACGACGTTGCGCAAACTCCTAGGCCGGCCCAAAAACCGAACAACACGCTAGAAGGGCGATCCAGTCTCCGACCGGAAGGCCTGGCCAAAGGAGGAACGGCGCCCACTTCTGACTCTGGCCCGCCTCTCCAACCGGAAGGCCTCGATTCCGACTCTGGCCCACCTCTCCGACCGACAGGCCTGGCCGAAGAAGACTAGTGCTCGCTTCTGACTCTGGCTCACCTCTCCGATCGGAAGGCCTGGCCAAAGAGGAACGACTCTCGCTTCGACTCTAACCCGCATCTCCGACCGGGATGCATTGTACCTCTGCTTACAGCTCTTCTTCGACTGGCGCAGTCGGAGCCGACTAGGGCCAACCGACCGGGGACGCTCGCTCGGTGAGGACCAGGTAGATGGGCG